CCCTCACGGGGGGGGGGGGGGGGGGGGGGGGGGGGGGGGGGGGGGGGGGGGGGGGGGGGGGGGGGGGGGGGGGGGGGGGGGGGGGGGGGGGGGGGGGGGGGGGGGGGGGGGGGGGGGGGGGGGGGGGGGGGGGGGGGGGGGGGGGGGGGGGGGGGGGGGGGGGGGGGGGGGGGGGGGGGGGGGGGGGGGGGGGGGGGGGGGGGGGGGGGGGGGGGGGGGGGGGGGGGGGGGGGGGGGGGGGGGGGGGGGGGGGGGGGGGGGGGGGGGGGGGGGGGGGGGGGGGGGGGGGGGGGGGGGGGGGGGGGGGGGGGGGGGGGGGGGGGGGGGGGGGGGGGGGGGGGGGGGGGGGGGGGGGGGGGGGGGGGGGGGGGGGGGGGGGGGGGGGGGGGGGGGGGGGGGGGGGGGGGGGGGGGGGGGGGGGGGGGGGGGGGGGGGGGGGGGGGGGGGGGGGGGGGGGGGGGGGGGGGGGGGGGGGGGGGGGGGGGGGGGGGGGGGGGGGGGGGGGGGGGGGGGGGGGGGGGGGGGGGGGGGGGGGGGGGGGGGGGGGGGGGGGGGGGGGGGGGGGGGGGGGGGGGGGGGGGGGGGGGGGGGGGGGGGGGGGGGGGGGGGGGGGGGGGGGGGGGGGGGGGGGGGGGGGGGGGGGGGGGGGGGGGGGGGGGGGGGGGGGGGGGGGGGGGGGGGGGGGGGGGGGGGGGGGGGGGGGGGGGGGGGGGGGGGGGGGGGGGGGGGGGGGGGGGGGGGGGGGGGGGGGGGGGGGGGGGGGGGGGGGGGGGGGGGGGGGGGGGGGGGGGGGGGGGGGGGGGGGGGGGGGGGGGGGGGGGGGGGGGGGGGGGGGGGGGGGGGGGGGGGGGGGGGGGGGGGGGGGGGGGGGGGGGGGGGGGGGGGGGGGGGGGGGGGGGGGGGGGGGGGGGGGGGGGGGGGGGGGGGGGGGGGGGGGGGGGGGGGGGGGGGGGGGGGGGGGGGGGGGGGGGGGGGGGGGGGGGGGGGGGGGGGGGGGGGGGGGGGGGGGGGGGGGGGGGGGGGGGGGGGGGGGGGGGGGGGGGGGGGGGGGGGGGGGGGGGGGGGGGGGGGGGGGGGGGGGGGGGGGGGGGGGGGGGGGGGGGGGGGGGGGGGGGGGGGGGGGGGGGGGGGGGGGGGGGGGGGGGGGGGGGGGGGGGGGGGGGGGGGGGGGGGGGGGGGGGGGGGGGGGGGGGGGGGGGGGGGGGGGGGGGGGGGGGGGGGGGGGGGGGGGGGGGGGGGGGGGGGGGGGGGGGGGGGGGGGGGGGGGGGGGGGGGGGGGGGGGGGGGGGGGGGGGGGGGGGGGGGGGGGGGGGGGGGGGGGGGGGGGGGGGGGGGGGGGGGGGGGGGGGGGGGGGGGGGGGGGGGGGGGGGGGGGGGGGGGGGGGGGGGGGGGGGGGGGGGGGGGGGGGGGGGGGGGGGGGGGGGGGGGGGGGGGGGGGGGGGGGGGGGGGGGGGGGGGGGGGGGGGGGGGGGGGGGGGGGGGGGGGGGGGGGGGGGGGGGGGGGGGGGGGGGGGGGGGGGGGGGGGGGGGGGGGGGGGGGGGGGGGGGGGGGGGGGGGGGGGGGGGGGGGGGGGGGGGGGGGGGGGGGGGGGGGGGGGGGGGGGGGGGGGGGGGGGGGGGGGGGGGGGGGGGGGGGGGGGGGGGGGGGGGGGGGGGGGGGGGGGGGGGGGGGGGGGGGGGGGGGGGGGGGGGGGGGGGGGGGGGGGGGGGGGGGGGGGGGGGGGGGGGGGGGGGGGGGGGGGGGGGGGGGGGGGGGGGGGGGGGGGGGGGGGGGGGGGGGGGGGGGGGGGGGGGGGGGGGGGGGGGGGGGGGGGGGGGGGGGGGGGGGGGGGGGGGGGGGGGGGGGGGGGGGGGGGGGGGGGGGGGGGGGGGGGGGGGGGGGGGGGGGGGGGGGGGGGGGGGGGGGGGGGGGGGGGGGGGGGGGGGGGGGGGGGGGGGGGGGGGGGGGGGGGGGGGGGGGGGGGGGGGGGGGGGGGGGGGGGGGGGGGGGGGGGGGGGGGGGGGGGGGGGGGGGGGGGGGGGGGGGGGGGGGGGGGGGGGGGGGGGGGGGGGGGGGGGGGGGGGGGGGGGGGGGGGGGGGGGGGGGGGGGGGGGGGGGGGGGGGGGGGGGGGGGGGGGGGGGGGGGGGGGGGGGGGGGGGGGGGGGGGGGGGGGGGGGGGGGGGGGGGGGGGGGGGGGGGGGGGGGGGGGGGGGGGGGGGGGGGGGGGGGGGGGGGGGGGGGGGGGGGGGGGGGGGGGGGGGGGGGGGGGGGGGGGGGGGGGGGGGGGGGGGGGGGGGGGGGGGGGGGGGGGGGGGGGGGGGGGGGGGGGGGGGGGGGGGGGGGGGGGGGGGGGGGGGGGGGGGGGGGGGGGGGGGGGGGGGGGGGGGGGGGGGGGGGGGGGGGGGGGGGGGGGGGGGGGGGGGGGGGGGGGGGGGGGGGGGGGGGGGGGGGGGGGGGGGGGGGGGGGGGGGGGGGGGGGGGGGGGGGGGGGGGGGGGGGGGGGGGGGGGGGGGGGGGGGGGGGGGGGGGGGGGGGGGGGGACCCGAGCGCAGCTCTGTGTTTGACCAATCTCTTAACTTCCAGTAAGTAAGAGACTTACTGGTCTCTTGCTGTGTGTTAGGCATTAGCCAAACACTTTATGTACATCGTCTCATTTGATCTGCAAAGTAGCCCGACTAGATGGATAGTGTTAGGTCTCTTTACGCTCGGGAGGTTATGTAACACCCAGATATACGCCTAGGAAAGTTGGGATTCTGAACCCATGTCTCAATTCGAGCTAATGCTCTAGACTACTGAGCTGTGCTGCCTGCCTCCCACACTGTGCTGTGAGAGGCGTGCTCAGATACTGCTTTGTCAGAAAGGAACTTCCTATCCAGTGCATAAAGTTGATCTGCGGATGGTTTTGGAGAGTAAGGTAGATACTGTTTTTCATCAAGCTAAGGGACTTTCCTGGCAGGTGTTCCTTTTCTTTGGCATATTCTTACTTCTTCCAGAACTGCCCATGCCATGACTTTGTTTTGGAATTAAAAGTTGAGCATCTGGGTTGAGTTGTAGCTCAGAGGCAGACTGCATGTATGTGTAGGAAGCCCTGAGTTCAATTCCCTGGACCAAAAACAAAACAACCGAGTATCTGAGGTTGCATTCAGAACAGACCAGGGACCTTAGGTTGATATTCAAACTCTACATAGAATGATTAAATTTCCTTTACACGGTTCAATATTACACCAGTACAGCCCACCAGAAATGGGCAGCGGAAACCCTGTTATCCCAGAGTAGTACTTAACCTTTCTTTCCTCTCTCAGACCCCTTTGAGACAGTACTGATAGCATTAAATCTTCTCCCAGAATACTAAGTAAACAAATACACACAAACACTGCCGTTGAAGCAGGGTTTGACCCCAGCACCATAAAAACAAAATAAAACCACAAACATTCAAACATTTCCTTACCTTTTCCAGGATTTGTGGGCCCCTGAAGAAACTTCATGAAAATAGGTTAAGAATTCCTTTCTCGGGCTGGGGATGTAGCTCAGCAGTACAGTGTTTGCCTAGCATGCACAAGGCCCTGGTTCAGTCCCCAGCAATCCCCTCCCTGTCCCCTCCTACCAAAAAAGAATTTCTGTTTTGAAGGAAATACCAGTAGTTTAAAAGAAGATAAAATTTTACTAGGGTGCTGGTGGCTCACCACCTGTAATTCTAGCTACTCAGGAGGCAGAGATCAGGAGAGTAACAGTTTGAAGCCAGCCAGGGCAAATAGTCCACAAAAAGGCCAGGGTGGCTCAAGGTGAAGGCCCTGAGTTCAAACCCAGCACTGCAAAAAGAAAAAAAAAAAGTTAGGAATCAGCCTCACATTGAGGAAAAATAGTGGATGTTGGTTGGAATTCGTTCTTATCAATTGATTATAATTCCTTATCTATGAAATGGGACAGTAATGTCTACTTAAAATTATATGAGATGGTAGGATACTGGTGGTTCACACCTGCAATCCTAGCTACTTTGGAGGCAGAGATCAGGAGGATCATGGTTTGAAGCCAGCCTGGGTTCACAAAACCCTATCTCGAAATACAAAACAGGACTGGTGGAGTGGCACAAAGTGGGTAGATAGCCTGCGTAACAAGTGTGAGGCCCTGAGTTCAAGCCTCAGTAATGCCCCCCCAAAAAAAGATCATATAGATAGTGTAAAGTTGAAGGAGTATGGTAGGTGTTTCTTCCTTTTCCTATGATATGAGTAGGTATTCCTTAAGTTTTGTATCTTGCTCTCATTTGTGGGTGTGTATATATATATATATGTATATATATATACACATATTTTTTGTGTGTGTATGTGTGTGGTATTGGC